GTATGGCTGATGCTAACCTCTGCCTTCCATCTGTATGGCTGATGCTAACCTCTGCCTTCCATCAGTATGGCTGATGCTAACCTCTGCCTTCCATCTGTATGGCTGATGCTAACCTCTGCCTTCCATCTGTATGGCTGATGCCAACCTCTGCCTTCCATCTGTATGGCTGATGCTAACCTCTGCCTTCCATCAGTATGGCTGATGCTAACCTCTGCCTTCCATCTGTATGGCTGATGCCAACCTCTGCCTTCCATCTGTATGGCTGATGCTAACCTCTGCTTTCCATCAGTATGGCTGATGCTAACATCCAGGAAAGTGTCTCGTTGCGCCTTCTAGGGTTAACGTTCTCTGATGGCATAAAGTGGAAAGACCATATTGAATCCATTGCTAAGTTAGTTGGCTGTGCAAGACTACTTTTATCTCCCTAATCTATCCCACATATTTACAAGTCTACCATTTTTCCATACTTAGAGTACTCCTGCCACATATGGTCGTGTGCTCCCGCTATATATTTACAGGTCCCTGATAAATTCCAGAGAAGAATCAGCAATTTTATTGGTCCCGATCTGGCATCTCGGCTTCAGTCACTTTCCCACTGCCGTAAGGCAGCCTGTTTGTGTCTTTTTTACAAATACGTCCATGGAAACTGTTTGAATGAGCACGTCGCCATGGTTAGATTTTCGAATTTAAGCGCAGTACTAGACTGGTCACAAATTTACAGCTGTGGTGGCAAGATGTAACCGTAAGTTCTATGCTAATAGTTTCTTCACTTGCTTGTGGAACTCTCTTCCTGCTTCATGCTTTCCAGTCAACTGTAACCTTCAAAAATTTAAATGTAATCTCAATCGCTATCTGTTGTCCTCCTGATTACTCTTCTTTTTTCTCGCTCCTTACTAATGTTTATCATTTCTAATTTTTCCACACCCAGTAATCCCTTGTGTCTTAGTGGCTTTATTGCCTTGCTTGCAGTGAAATTGATTAAAATAAAAAGGGGCTTTGGTTAATATTACTATTACTGTATTCTATCAGGGACTAGCAGTATAACCCGTCTTTGCCCGGGTCTTTCATTACTGGGAATATTTGCCGTTCAATTGGAGCAGTTTAAGTTTAAAGTCAGCCCACCCAAAAATCAATATTAGTAACAACATTTGGGTGCATCTGCGGCATATCCCTAAATGTGGGGGGGTAACAATTTGAATGGGGGTGTCCCGGTAAAGGGAACTGTATCATAATAAATAATAATATTGTAATAATTTAAAGTATTTATTTTTTATTAAAGATTTTATGAAAGACATATATCCATAAACAGGTAGTAAATAGTAAAACGTTGCTGAGAGTTATAATGGACAGGAAGTAGTGGAGAGCCATTGTCGCCAACAATTTGGACTCAAAACCGACACTGAAGAATTATCTATCAAACAAAAAAAAAGTTTTATCGAAATCGGATGAAAACTGTGGAAATGAATAAACAACATCTGATCACACACACACAGACATACATATATATATACATAAACGCACACATTTTGAGAATTATAGATATAGATGTTTTTATTTATTATAAAATTCCATTTTTTTACACAATCGTACTTGTACATTGTTTTAAATTCCTTCATAACTCTGGTAAAACTATTTACCCTATTCCACCGAGACTATCAATCGCCATATTTGGACGGTGATAAATCTTTTCTTTGTATGTGCCGAAATATATACTTTGTACGTTCGCGTCATAATTCTAATATTGATATGTATCAGTTCTCTCGTCCTGGGTAGGACGATAAACAATATCCGACAACATGGCCTTTGATCAGTAACCAGTATCAGTTCTCAAACGCGAAAACAACTGGGAAATATTGATGCATATTTGCTTTTCGTATCTGTCCCCACACAAAATATGTGATGGAAATTTTGTCATTTGCTTGCTGTGTGTATAAGGCCGGTTCCAGAAGTAATATCTCGCATTTTATTATAATGGCCAACGATATCAGAGGCAAATGTTGAATATTTCCATCAATAACAGATTTTTTTTTCCAGATAGCATCTCAGCAGCAATCTGACAAAATGGCATCTGACATGAAAGTGCATATAAAATAGTATGTCGGTCTTGAAAAAATAAGCCCATTTGACATTCATCAACCTTTGCTGAATGTTTATCGAGACCAAACAGGGGATGTGAGCATATTTTTTGTTACTAATGTTTAACCACTATAAGGCTCAAGAGTCACTATCAACAATCAACAATCAAATGGAAATTCTTGACTTAAACAAAAAATACCTAGGATTATTTAGCAGTGTGCAAGCAAATAAACTCTAGCTTGCTGAAAATGTTCCATACAAAATAGGCATTTAAAATTCATATATTTGGCATATATATATATATATATATATATATATATATATATATATATATATATATATATATATAAACTGGATTTGGTATTAAATAACACACAGTGGTTGATATGCCATAAAACCCAAACAAACAAACAAACAACAAGAGTCACTCAAGGTAAAGCGCTACTGAATGTTTTATGAACGGCAAGAGTAAGTGGTAAGACGTGCAGTTTATGATTATATATGCGAACGATAACAGTTCAAGCTAGACTTGAAGAGGTTAAAATTGTCGTGATCGCGAAAGCATCCTGTTGGGAGTGTGTTCCTCAACGTAGTGGTACTTTGGAAGTAGCTGTTCGAGTGGAACTTCCTTCTTACCAGTGGAGTACGATGAGTATGGATATGGCTTGACCCAGTGTACGTGGCCTGAGAGGTCTTAACTGGGAAGCGTACTCCTGGTGGAACTAAAGATTGTTGAACACTTGTAGAACCATGGAAATAGCGAGAGACTTGGATGTTTCATCTATGGAAAAAGGGTTGTAATATGGAAAACAACTCATCCCCACAAAAGGCCGCTGGATGTTTATGAACGCTATCAAAGCTGGAAAGGGAAGAATTGGTAGCACCATCACAGATATTGCATCAGTAATCCATTTTCCCGATCGGTTCTAACTATTCAGCGAGGCAATTCTGAGAGTATTGGAAATCCTACCGAGATTTAGAACTGGTGACACAGTACTGATAGCAGACACGGAAAAGAAATTACAAAACCTCCAACAGTGAGCAAGAAGGGTCTAAGCATAAACTACAAGAAAACAGAATGCATGGTCATCAGTAAAAGGATTAACCCGAAATGCAATTTTCAGGTTGAGAAGCAGACGCAGAAGTTTAAATATCTGGGAAGCGTCTTGATAGAGGACGAGAAGTGTGACGCTGAGATCCGAAGATGCAATGGGATGGACAAGGACACATTGCAATAGTTGAGCAGAGTATTGCGAGACAAGGATTTCTTTGGTAACAAAGAAAAGAACACTGAACTGTTACGTGACATCTGTTCTTCTTTACGGCAGCGAATGTTGGACGATTTCCTCAAAGATGAAAAAGAGACTCTAAGAAATATGGTTCTACAGATGGATGCTAAGGATATCATAGACCGAGCATGTGAGCAACGATGAGATCTTAGAGAGGCTGCAAACAAGGAGAAAGATTTTATACTTAACATCAGAAAGAGGCAACTGAAGTCTCTGGGATACATAATGAGGAAGGAGGGTCTGGAGAATCTGATACTCACGGGTCGAATAGAGATAAAGAGAGACAAGTGAACGCAGCGAATGACAAGCCTGATGAGCTTGAGCGGGTGGATGACAGAATGTGGTCTGGAGGAGGAAGCAGAGAGAAGGAACTTTTTAAGAGCTGCAAGGGATAGAGGGAGGTGGAGAGCCATGATCACCTACGTCCTGAAAGGACATGGCACATAAAAAGAAAAAGAAAGAATCCATTTTCTTACTAGTTTTCAAAATTATTTTTATGTTACACTATAGTAATATTTCAGAAGTTATGTACGTTTTATTTTCCAGACTTTATTTCCGGGATTTCTTTGAACTCAGAACTATATTGAATATATCCATGTTATAAAAAAATCTTTGATCACACTCATGAGGTTTCCAATCTTGAGAAAAATGAATATACCATAGCCTTAATGCATAATTCACTATTTATTCTTAGGACAGCCGGTTAGAAGCGTGACAGTGACACTCATTATCCAGCATAAATTGAAGATGTAAAATGGTATGAGGCAATAGCAAATACCGTAATTCCCTGTGTATAATATGCCTTCATCCATAATATGCACCCCTAAAATTGTGCTGAAAGTGTGGGAAAATGCTTCCACTTATGCATAACACGCACCCCTTGTTTGGTAATCAAACCCTATAAATTGTACCTCTCCAATTTCATTACAGCCAGCGTTTCCTACTCGTATTCAAGCTGTAATTGAAGATATCTATCAAAATTTCCGATCATCACGATTTTAAAAGGAAACGGAAATACCTATATTGTGCCTACTGCGCAGACTCATTAACCTGTTTTTGTTCGATAAAATGTTCAATCTACCGGATCTGTATGTAGTTTTTCACAAAAACTGGTTTTAAATATAGAATAATATAATTCTAATTTAGTTTTATGATGATTCTTATTTCATTTTACGTTTGTAAGTATTGTTAGGTACATATATGATTATATTTGACATCCTTATGGGGTCGCAATCGCCGAGTGTCAAATTGTCGTATGTTTGTGGTGAGTAGTCATTTCGCAACTGAAACGGCAATTTTTTAAAGATTTTTTTGTAGCTGTGCATAACACACACCCCTGTTTTTGCTTACTATTTTTTTTTAGAAAAGAATGCGTATTATATATGGGAAATTGCGGTAATTGGTAATTTTGTAGTTAAAAAAAAAATTTCCATATCAACTGTAGAAATAATGTAGAATGCGTAATTTTTTTTTAATTTGCCAGACGTTCTACAAGAGCTGGGATGCAATTAACAAAGAAAAAATCTGGAAAATTTACTTGGAACTTTAACATATAAATATTTAATACATTCTTTTACTGAGATTATTATCATTATTTCATTTTTTTTTCATCTAATTTGAGGTTTATGGTCATATCAACACCGGTTCCTGTAAGAACAACGAAGTTAAGCAATACTGCGCCATGTCAGTATTACGTTGGGTGAAGGTTTGGGAATACAAGGTACCGTAAACTTGGATGTGTGAGTGGTATATGTTACGGTTCTTGTAAGCTCACTGAAGTTAAGCAATGTAATGTTAGGTCAGTATCTCGATGGGTGAAGGCTTACAAATACCAAATGCCGAAAACATGGAAGTGCTGATGGGATAGCTTACAGTCATTTTCACGTAGAAACACCGGTTCTCGTACGCTCACCGAAGTTAAGCAATGTAATGTCAGGTCAGTATCTCGATGGGCGGAGGCTTACAAATACCAAATGCCGAAAACATGGAAGTTCTGATGGGATAGCTTACAGTTATTTTCACGTAGAAACACTGGTTCTCGTACGCTCACCGAAGTTAAGCAATGTAATGTCAGGTCAGTATCTCGATGGATGAAGGCTTACGAATACCAAATGCCGAAAACATGGAAATGCTGATGGGATAGCTTACGGTCATTTTCACGTAGAAACACTGGTTCTCGTACGCTCACCGAAGTTAAGCAATGTAATGTCAGGTCAGTATCTCGATGGGCGGAGGCTTACAAATACCAAATGCCGAAAACATGGAAGTGCTGATGGGATAGCTTACAGTCATTTTCACGTAGAAACACCGGTTCTCGTACGCTCACCGAAGTTAAGCAATGTAATGTCAGGTCAGTATCTCGATGGGTGAAGGCTTACAAATACCAAATGCCGAAAACATGGAAATGCTGATGGGATAGCTCACAGTCATTTTCACGTAGAAACACTGGTTCTCGTACGCTCACCGAAGTTAAGCAATGTAATGTCAGTATCTCGATGAGTGAAGGCTTACAAATACCAAATGCCGAAAACATGGAAGTGCTGATGGGATAGCTCACAGTCATTTTCACGTAGAAACACTGGTTCTCGTACGCTCACCGAAGTTAAGCAATGTAATGTCAGGTCAGTATCTCGATGGGTGAAGGCTTACAAATACCAAATGCCGAAAACATGGAAGTGCTGATGGGATAGCTCACAGTCATTTTCACGTAGAAACACTGGTTCTCGTACGCTCACCGAAGTTAAGCAATGTAATGTCAGTATCTCGATGAGTGAAGGCTTACAAATACCAAATGCCGAAAACATTGAAGTGCTGATGGGATAGCTTACAGTCATTTTCACGTAGAAACACCGGTTCTCGTACGCTCACCGAAGTTAAGCAATGTAATGTCAGGTCAGTATCTCGATGGGTGAAGGCTTACAAATACCAAATGCCGAAAACATGGAAATGCTGATGGGATAGCTCACAGTCATTTTCACGTAGAAACACTGGTTCTCGTACGCTCACCGAAGTTAAGCAATGCAATGTCATGTCAGTATCTCGATGGGTAAAGGCTTACAAATACCAAATGCCGAAAACATGGAAATGCTGATGGGATAGCTCATGTCATTTTCACGTAGAAACACTGGTTCTCTTACGCTCACTGAAGTTAAGCAATGTAATGTCAGGTCAGTATCTCGATGGGTGAAGGCTTACAAATACCAAATGCCGAAAACATGGAAGTGCTGATGGGATAGCTCACAGTCATTTTCACGTAGAAACACTGGTTCTCTTACGCTCACTGAAGTTAAGCAATGTAATGTCAGGTCAGTATCTCGATGGGTGAAGGCTTACAAATACCAAATGCCGAAAACATGGAAGTGCTGATGGGATAGCTCACAGTCATTTTCATTTTCTCTTACGCTCACTGAAAAGCAATGTAATGTCAGGTCAGTATCTCGATGGGTGAAGGCTTACAAATACCAAATGCCGAAAACATGGAAGTGCTGATGGGATAGCTCACAGTCATTTTCACGTCACTGGTATCACTGAAGTTAAGGTGAATGTCAGGTCAGTATCTCGAAATAAGGCCAAATGCCAAATGAAAACATGGAAGTGCTGATGGGATAGCTCACATTTTCACGTCACTTTTCTTACGTAGAAACACAATGGTTCTCTTACGATGGGTGAAGGCTTACAAATACCAAATGCCGAAAACATGGAAGTTAAACAGTCAATGTCAGGTTAAGCAATGTATCTCGATCTCGATGGTGAAGGCTTACAAATACCAAATGCCGAAAACATGGAAATGCTGATGGGATAGCTCACAGTCATTTTCACGTAGAAACACTGGTTCTCTTACGCTCACTGAAGTTAAGCAATGTAATGTCTCGATGGTCAGTATCTCGATGGGTGAAAACACTGGTTCTCGTACGCTCACCGAAAAGCAATGTAATGTCAGTATCTCGATGAGTGAAGGCTTACAAATACCAAATGCCGAAAACATGGAAGTGCTGATGGGATTTCACGTAGAAACACTGGTTCTCACAGTCATTTTCACCGAAGTTAGAAACAATGTCAGTTCTCTCGATGACGCAGCTCACCAAATACCAAATGCCGAAAACATGGAAGTGCTGATGGGATAGCTCACAGTCATTTTCACGTAGAAACACTGGTTCTCGTACGCTCACCGAAGTTAAGCAATGTCAGGTCAGTATCTCGATGGGTGAAGGCTTACAAATACCAAATGCCGAAAACATGGAAGTGCTGATGGGATAGCTCACAGTCATTTTCACGTAGAAACACTGGTTCTCGTACGCTCACCGAAGTTAAGCAATGTAATGTCAGTATCTCGATGAGTGAAGGCTTACAAATACCAAATGCCGAAAACATGGAAAATGCTGGGATAGCTCACAGTCATTTTCACGTAGAAACACTGGTTCTCGTACGCTCACCGAAATAATGTAATGTCAGTATCTCGATGAGTGAAGGCTTAAAATACAAATGCCGAAAACATGGAAATGCTGATGGGATAGCTCAGTCATTTTCACGTAGAAACACTGGTTCATTTTCGAAGTAGAAATGTAATGTCAGTATCTCGATGGTGAAGGCTCAAATACCAAATGCCGAAAACATGGAAGTTATGGGATAGCTCACAATTTTCACGTAGAAACACTGGTTCTCTCGACCGAAGTTAAGCAATGTAAGGTCTATCTCGATGGGTGAAGGCTTACAAATACAAATGCCGAAAACATGGAAGTGCTGATGGGATAGCTCACAGTCATTTTCACGTAGAAACACTGGTTCTCGTACGCTCACCGAAGTTAAGCAATGTAATGTCAGGTCATCTCGATGGGTGAAGGCTTACAAATACCAAATGCCGAAAACATGGAAGTGCTGATGGGATAGCTCACAGTCATTTTCACGTAGAAACACTGGTTCTCGTACGCTCACCGAAAACATGTTAAGCAATGTAATGTCAGTATCTCGATCTCGATGGTGAAGGCTTACAAATACCAAATGCCGAAAACATGGAAGTGCTGATGGGATAGCTCACAGTCATTTTCACGTAGAAACACTGGTTCTCGTACGCTCACCGAAGTTAAGCAATGTAATGTCAGGTCAGTATCTCGATGGGTGAAGGCTTACAAATACCAAATGCCGAAAACATGGAAGTGCTGATGGGATAGCTCACAGTCATTTTCACGTAGAAACACTGGTTCTTTACGCTCACCGAAGTTAAGCAATGTAATGTCAGGTCATATCTCGATGGGTGAAGGCTTACAAATACCAAATGCCGAAAACATGGAAATGCTGATGGGATAGCTCACAGTCATTTTCACGTAGAAACACTGGTTCTCGTACGCTCACCGAAGTTAAGCAATGTAATGTCAGGTCAGTATCTCGATGGTGAAGGCTTACAAATACCAAATGCCGAAAACATGGAAATGCTGATGGGATAGCTCACAGTCATTTTCACGTAGAAACACTGGTTCTCTTACGCTCACCGAAGTTAAGCAATGTAATGTCAGGTCAGTATCTCGATGGGTGAAGGCTTACAAATACCAAATGCCGAAAACATGGAAATGCTGATGGGATAGCTCACAGTCATTTTCACGTAGAAACACTGGTTCTCTTACGCTCACCGAAGTTAAGCAATGTAATGTCAGGTCAGTATCTCGATGGGTGAATAGGCATTTTCACAAATACCAAATGCCGAAAACATGGAAATGCTGATGGGATAGCTCTTACAGTCATTTTCACGTAGAAACACTGGTTCTCTTACGCTCACCGAAGTTAAGCAATGTAATGTCAGGTCAGTATCTCGATGGGTGAAGGCTTACAAATACCAAAAAAACATGGAAATGCTGATGGGGATAGCTGTCATTTTCACGTAGAAACACTGGTTCTCGCGCTCACCGAAGTTAAGCAATGTGTCAGGTCAGTATCTCGATGGGTGAAGGCTTAAAATACAAATGCCGAAAACATGGAAATGCTGATGGGATAGCTCACGTCATTTTCACGTAGAAACACTGGTTCTCTTACGCTCAATACCAATGTAATGTCAGGTCAGTATCTCGATGGGTGAAGGCTTACAAATGGAAATGCCGAAAACATGGAAGTGCTGATGGGATAGCTCACAGTCATTTTCACGTAGAAACACTGGTTCTCTTACGCTCACTGAAGTTAAGCAATGTAATGTCAGGTATCTCGATGGGTGAAGGCTAATGTCAAAACATGGAAATCTGATATAGCTCACAGTCATTTTCACGTAGAAACACCGGTTCTCGACGCTCACCAAAGTTAAGCAATGTAATGTCAGGTCAGTATCTCGATGGGTGAAGGCCAAAATACCAAATGCCGAAAACATGGAAGTGCTGATGGGATAGCTCACAGTCATTTTCACGTAGAAACACTGGTTCTCTTACGCTCACTGAAGTTAAGCAATGTAATGTCAGGTCAGTATCTCGATGGGTGAAGGCTTACAAATACCAAATGCCGAAAAACATGGAAGTGCTGATGGGATAGCTCACAGTCATTTTCACGTAGAAACACTGGTTCTCTTACGCTCACCGAAGTTAAGCAATGTAATGTCAGGTCAGTATCTCGATGGGTGAAGGCTTACAAATACCAAATGCCGAAAACATGGAAATGCTGATGGGATAGCTCACAGTCATTTCACGTAGAAACACTGGTTCTCGTACGCTCACCGAAGTTAAGCAATGTAATGTCAGGTCAGTATCTCGATGG